ATTAAACTATTGCAAGCAAAGCCCCTCCCATTGTCCAGTCCATCATCGAGCCAATCACAGGCGGCAAAGATGTTTTGAGAACCTCAGGCACAGAAGGTGATATCTGTCATTCAGCCGCTTTGGTTTTGCTTTCTCTGTTGCCGAGATAGCGCAAATGGCTCCAATCACATTCCATTCCTCCTCCCTAGGATGACCCAAGGCACATTCCTTCCCCCTCCCTATTTCTCTCAAGGTCCTGTACAACAAATCAAGTGAAAGCCTGCAAAAATTCCCCCTCAAGCCTCCCCCCTCCCAATATGGCAGCATCCCAATAGCTTTCTAAGGGACCTGACACCTACAACTACTGTAGTCTCTGGATTGTTGGTTTTTGTAGCTTGGAAATTAGGGAGGGAGAGAACGCAGTAGAACTTCTTTACAGTTAGATTCTTTGCAGTAGATTTTCTTTGATGTGGAGGATAATTATGAAGGTTAATCTTGTTATAAGCAAACATCTTGTCAATTAAAAGAGGGTGGTGGTTTTCTTCTTCTCCAAGTATTAATTATGCAAGGGACTCAGCAGCTCTCCAGTCTCTTCAGAAGAAAACTTGGAATCTTTGTATTTTTGTAGTGAGACATAAAAGTTTGGATGAGTGCAGTATATATACAAATTTCAATTTCTTTAGGGTAGTTTCTTTTATTTATTTCTTTTATTATTTATTTACTTTATTTAAGTCACTTACTACCAAGATCTCTTAGTAGCTTACAATAAAAACAAATGTAAAACTGAATGATAAAAATAGTCAAATAGCATTTGAAACAAGTAGAACTTATATTAAAATTAACAGTTGAGGGTCAGAACAAAAGAGATGTTTTAATGGCCATTTACAAAACTGATAAAAATGAAGACGTTGCATTCTAAAAGAATTGGGTGGGCAGTAGAAAGAGCTGAGTCCAGATTTACTGCCAGATGATCTTGCAATAACTGAGCAAACTGAGTTCCTAGTAAGTGTGGAGGTTCATATGGAAAAAGGAAAGAGCCTGGAACTAAGATTTTAAAGGTAATGATCAGCGCTGGGTATTTTACCCTGAAACAAATTGCTAATTTATATGGTGCCCTAAGCCAGCAGCCCCCAACCTTTGGGGCACCAGGGACTGGTTCCGTGGAGAGAGTTTTTTCCATGGACCAGAGGTGTGTGGTTTCGTGTAGCTCCTCTTCACTTTCTGTCATTATGGTGCTATCTTCTGCATATCTGAAGTTATTGATGTTTCTCCTGGCAATCTTAATTCCAGTTTGTGATTTATCCAGCTCACCATTTTGTATGATGTACTCTGCATAGAAGTTAAATAAGCAGGGTGACAATATACAGCCTTGTTGTGCTCTTTTCCCTATTTTGAGCCAATAGGTTCGATGTTCAGTTCTAATTGTTGCTCCTTGACCCGCATACAGTTTCTCAGAAGACAGGTAAAGTGGTCTAGAACTCCCATCTCTTTAAGAACTTGCCCCCGTTTGTTGTAATCTACCCAATCAAAGGCTTTAGGATAGTCAATGAAGCAGAAGTAAATGTTTTCTAGAACTCCCTTGCTTTTTCCATAATCCCATGAATGTTGGCAATTTGATCTCTAGTTCCTCTGCCTCTTTAAAACCCAGTTTGTACTTCTGTTAGTTCTTGGTTCACATATTGCTGAAGCCTAGCTTGTTGGATTTTGAATATGACCTTGCTAATATGTGAAATGAATGCAATTGTATGGTAATTAGAACATTCTTTGGCATTGCCCTTCTTTGGATTGGAACATAAACTGACATTTTCCAATTCTGTGACAATTGTTGAGTTGTCCGAATTTGCTGGCATTTTGAGTGCAGCACTTTAACAGCACTCATCTATACTAAAGAGCCTGTTAATGAGGTTGAAAGAAGAGAGTGCAAAAGTTGGGTTGAAATTCAATATTAAAAAACAAAGATCATGGTATCTGGTCCCAGCATTTCCTGGCAAATAGAAGGGGAAGAAATGGAAGCAGTGACAGATTTTATTTTCTTAGGCTCCAAGATCAGTGCAGACAATGACTGCAGCCATGAAATTAAAAGGTGCTTGCTCCTTGGGAGGAAAGCTATGGCAAACCTAGACAGCATATTAAAAAGTAGAGATATCACCTTGCCAACAAAGGTTTGCGATTTGTGCAATATGGGCTTTGTGTTTCAAAAAAGATGTTGGGCAATTCCTATTCTGGCTAATGGCTTTCATCCTGTGTTGGATCTTGGGTGAGGGGCTGCTTGTTCTTATCCTACCATTCTGCTTTTGCTAGCTGTCAAACTTTGCGGCAAGGAGTTTTGAAATATCCTGTCGAATGGATTTCTGGCTGCAGGGGGGGGGTGTTTGCTTATGAATGGAGCCATCTAGATAATTGGCGTCCGCTTTCATTAAGCTCTTTATCTCCTTAAGTGCTGGCATCTACTGTGGGCTATTAAGAAAGACTGGTGGTTGCTTTCTGCCCCTAAAAACATTTTTCTCCATTTCTCCTTTAGAGAAATATAATATTCTGCCTTTTTAAATATTTCCCAAAATATTTCATTCTTCTGGGGAGGGGGAGCTTCCCACAAGTCCATGCACATCTTTGCACAAAACATTCCCTTGAGATCTCCAATTTTCTTGAAGAGATCTCTAATCTTTCCCATTCTGTTGTTTCCCCCTTTTCTTTGCCTTGTTCATTTATGAAGGCCGCCTTATCTTTCCTTGCTATCCTCTGGAAATCAGACTTTGAGCCAGAGGAGGGATAAATGAAATATACAGAGAAAATGGATTTGAATTGAAGAAGGAAAGAGATCTATTGATTGCAATGTCTGGGGTTGATTACAGTTTGTATTTCAGCACTTTTGAAAGGCAGCAAGTTGGTGAAGAGTGGCAAAATTGCTTTTTGTGGAGGCAAAGCAGCATGACAGAAGGAAAGTTTATAATGGAGATGAATAAGTAAACATTTTGGCAACAGCAGTAATTCTCATCTTTAGTATTATGATTCTACTGAAATGTACAGAATAATCATAGGTGTAGGAACTCAAACTTCTCTATTTCCAGGTAATTTGTCAAAATACTGCTGGAAACTACCGTATTTTCCGGCGTAAAAGATGACTTTTTAACACATGAAAATCTTCTCAAAAGTCGGGGGTCATCTTATACGCCGGGTGTCGTTCTCCTGTAACCAGGCAGACCAGCCTGAAAGGCTCCAACGAGCCTTAAATGGCTCTGGCGATCCAAGCTCTGATGATCCCAGCTTTGCCTGCTAATCAGGCAACTCAGCTGGGATCGCCAGAGCCATGTAAAAGGAAAAAACTTTTTTCTTTTACATGACTCTGGCGATCCAAGCTCTGATGATCCCAGCTGAGTTGCCTGCTAATCAGGCAACGCAGCTGGGATCGCCAGAGCCATGTAAAAGAAAAAAAGTTTTCCCCTCCAGCTTGCTTACCTTAGCTGCTAGTCGCAATGCTTGCCTTGCTTCGCTTGCCTGAATCCATTCCATCAATAAGCCACTCCCTGCCTGCAATCAAGCAGGCAGGGAGTTGTGGACTTCAACTCCCAGAATTCCTCAGCCAGCAAAACAAAGCTGGCTGAGGAATTCTGGGAGTTGAAGTCTACAAGTCTTAAAGTTGCCAAGGTTGGAGACCCCTGTTCTATTGGGTAAGTTTTTTTCCCCTTTGGGAGCTTTAAAAAAATAGTTAATTGGGGTTTTTTTAGTTGTTCTTTTTTAGACCTAGCCATTTAAAGTTTAGGAAGTTTTACATTTAGTTTTCGTATAAAAATAAAATAATATTTGTGCAGCTTTCTGAGATTTAGTGTGTTTCTGTAGTGTTTCACTCTAACTACACAAACACACAAAATCTCACAAAGTTGTATGTGGAATTTTGTGTGTGTAAAGTGTGAAAGTTGTTTTTTTGGGCTTTTTGTGGCTGTGTGAGGTTCCCTGCTTGTTGCAGGGACCATTTTGGGTCTAGCACAGCTGTTTTTACATTGTGGGTGAGCCAGTTGTGTTGTGTTGTGTGTGTGTAAAGTGTGAAAGTTGTTTTTTGGGGGGCTTTTTGTGGCTGTGTGTGGTTCCTGCTTGTTGCAGGGGCCATTTTGGGTCTAGCACAGCTGCTTTTACATTGTGGGTGAGCCAGTTGATGTTTTTTAATTTTTATTTGGTGTGCGTTGGAAGAGGGGTAGTCTTATACGGCGAGTATAGCCCAAACCCTATATTTTAACAGGAAAAGTCGGGGGTTGTCTTATACGCCCAGTCGTCTTATACGCCGGAAAATACGGTAAAATGGATCAGAGTTCTGGTTATATACAGTATCTTTGTAGCTTTAAAGTTATACACTGATAATAGTTCTCCAAGTGTAGGTTTCTCAATTATTTGTCAATCATGGGATGGGGGAAAGTAATAATCCAGTGCTCAAGTTGCACAAATGATGCTTCTGTACTTGCAAAAAAAACCCAGGCATTTTGAGAAAAAGAAACCCTTCTATTGTAAACTTGAAATAATGTGACCATAATTTTGCCCTTCACTCAAATTTTCTCAAAAGAGAAAAATAGAAGACACAATCTATCAAGATTGTCCCTCCCCAAGACCAGCACAAAATTAGTAGAAATTCTCCAGAGACTTGGATAAACATGTTAGGAACTGGAACCTTTTGTTATATTGGAATTAATTTCAGTCATAACAAACAGATCATATCCTGTGAGCAAATAGAAAAATGGTACAAACTTATGCACAGTGATACTTCAAATCCTGATTTTCTACTACAGAACCCCACTACCACCATCCTTTTTTCATATTCTGTTATCCCACCCCTCCTGCTTGTTTTATTTTCTGCATTCCTGTTTTGTGTAGGAAATTTCTACAAATTAAGCTGAGAATTGTCATGCCATTATTGAACATTGACAAAGAATTTCCCAGTGATATTTATCTTATTGGAATAGTGAAAATAAAATACCCAGTTTACATATTCTTGAGTTATATAAGTTGTCTAACTCAACAATCTCGTTTTTTAGGGACACCACATAAATATGACCCAACTTTCAAAGGCCCCATTTACGACAGGTAAGACCACCCTATTGGTAAAAGGTTTGAGATTTTTGCTGTTATTTTTCAGTGCACTACGGTATGTCTAGAGTGACCATTTATTACCATCTGTTGATTCCCCCCCCCCTTTGGAAAGTAATGAAAAGATAACTCTATTGAAAATCCAGGAGTTTAGGGGTCTTGATTATTTCTTTGGAATGCATCGGGTGGGTTTAGTAGCTCTTATTCTAGTTTCACTTCTTGCTTTGTGCATGGACATAGTTTGTTTTCCAGCTATAGTATTATTTAATTATAGTAGGATGATAATATAATTTTACTGACATTACTGACATATGATCAGAGGTTTACATTTCAATTTGTATCTGATATTACAACAATTCATAAATAATTTTATCAGCCAATTTTATTTTTATGGGGTTACATTAGTTGCCTTATTCTGATGATCAGATAAATATTTGTTTTGTAGGTTCTTAACGAATTATTATGCTAACTCATGACTAGCTATTGAATGGAGATTGCTCTTATTCTCTGATAATATGTATTTATCTGTTAGTTTAAATGTTAAATGTTGCCAGTATAATTCAGTTTTATGGTAGTTTACAAACAAAAATTAGAATAACCATCCAACACCACTCTGAGCGATTGTTGTTTTTTTCTGACTGAAATTCAAACGTTACTAACTTCAGAAAAATGCTTCAGCAATTACTGTGCAGGAAAAAACATTATTTTTATACTAGAATACCTTAGATTAGCTTTTCTTTAGCCTACCCCAGCAGTGGGAGGCCTATAGGATGGAAGCTTTGTTTTAAAGATATCTCACTAAATGGTAAATTTTGTGTCATGGTAAGCAGAATAGGTGGATGAATCCTTTATATTTCATACTGAAATAATTCTTTTTAAATGAAGGAATCACAAGATAGTTTTCATAAAGATATATATCATGATAGTAGCCATAAAGTTATGTATCATGATAGCAGTCTTCCAATATATGAGGGGCTGTCACCAAGAGGAGGGGGTCAGCCAATTTTTCAAAGCACCTAAAGGCAGGATAAGAAGCAATGGATGGAAGACTATTAAAGAGATATCCACCTAGAATTAATGAGAAATTTCCTGACAATGAGAACAGTTAATCAGTAGAATGGCTTGCCTCCAGAAATTGTGAGGACTCCATCTCACAATTACGGGAGGTTTTTAGGAAGAGAATGGACATCCACTTGTCCAGAATGGTATAGGGTCTCCTGCTTGAGCAGGGGATTGGACTAGAAGACCGCTAAGGTCTTCTCCCATTCTGTAATTCTGTTATTCTGTAAACCCAATAAGGTTATTTGATCTTAGATCTGGATTACTTTGTTTCCGATTAACTTTTTTGTGTGTAAGATTAACAGACTTGGGTTTAACATACCATCTTTTCTGAATTGTAGTAGTTAGTAATCAGCATCATAGTATCCCTGTGTACATCTCTAAAAGCTAGAGATGGTGGTTTACTACTTCTGAGGAGTTAATGTCCACTCCCCATCTTCACTATAGGTTGAAGGAGGAATGTGTTGGTTATATTTGCCTGTCCATTATTCTTGAGATGGACTATAGTTTATTTGTCATTTGATTAGAGAGTTTTCAAGGTTTTCTTTTTATCACTACTGTGTGCCAGAGACAAATATATTGTTACTTACTCTCACTTAGCTTGTTTCTTCTTCCAGGGGCTGCACAGATATCATCTGCTGTATCTTGCTGCTGGTTGCAATTGGGGGCTATGTTGCAGTGGGTATTGTGGGTATGTATTCTACTGTTTATTATTTTTCTCTGCCTTGAGATATTATTTTTGTTACTGAAAGTTGGATATCAAAGTTAGATGGAGAAGGAGAATTATGACAGCCAAGAAGGTATATCATCATAGAAGTAAATAAGTAGGATTCAACTAATGGTATCAAATCTTAAATAATGGTTTGCTCTTTAATCATATTGCTAATGTCTGCTGCCCCAAGGGTTTGACCCAGGGGTGAAATGCTATCGGTTTGGGCCGGTTTGCCCGAACCGGTAGTAACAAATGTGACTGGTTCGCCGAACCGGTAGTAAAAATGCTTTAAAAAGTTTTTTAAAAGTTCTGAAGATGGTGCGGCACAGCTGATCGTCTGAACTTTTTTTTTTTACTTTTTTTAAAGCATTTTTTTTACTACCCATTCGGGCAATAGGTAGTAAAAAAATGCTTTAAAAAAGTTTTTTAAAAAAGGTTCAAATCAGCTGTGCAGTGCAATCCTCGGAACTTTTTTTTTTACTTTTTAAAGCATTTTTACTACTTATTGGGGGAAGTCCTTTTTTGCTCCCAGGAGGCTTCCCTGAGACCTACTAGGCCAAAAATGGGGGTTGGGGTCCATTTTTGCTCCCAGGAGGCTTCCCTAAAGCCTGTTAGGCCAAAAACGGGGGGTGGGTGGGGGGTGCTGCAGAAGGAAGGAAGGAAGGAAGGAGGGAAGAAAGAAAAAGAAAAGGTGGGAGGGAGGGAGAGAAAAAGGAGAGGAAGGAAGGACCACAAACCTGGCACTAGACGCAGCTTCAGAGGACTTGAAAGATGTGCACAGCAATCAATCCAGGGCTGGAAGGGACCTGGAAGTCATCTAGTCTAACCCCCTGCTCCAGCAGGACATTGTTAAACTGAGTTTCTGTCTTTTAACCCCCCAGTCACATGACTACATAGCCACGCCCACCCAGTCACATGACCCCCCCCCACCAAGCCACGCCTATCAAGCCACACCTATCAAGCCACAGAACCGGTAGGGAAAAAAATTAGATTTCACCACTGGTTTGACCCTTTTTTTTATTGAAAAGTTTTAAAAGTTTACATATATATCCCCCCCCACATTTGCCTTAATATGTGTTTCTTGCAAACAAATTACATCATTTTTAAATTGTTTCAAATAATGGAATATTTTCTTCCTTTTTTGCGGTGAGTTTAAGCCATTAACATTCCAAGTTAAAAATCTAGTTGCCATCTTTGGCCCCCTGAAGCCTTTTGAGCACCAACTGGAAATCCTCCTGGAATTTCTTCTTCGGTCTTGGCCCCCCCCCCCCAGCTTCTGTATTTATGTTTGTACTTCCTTGGGTTGTTATCTGGGTTTGTTGCATCTTTAATTCTTGTTCCTTTCGTTTAGTTGCCGCTCGTGTTTGTCTTTGTTCTTGGGCTTCTTCTGTTTTTTCAAATAACTCCAAGGCTTGCACAGCCTCCAAAAGTTGCACTAATTCTTCTTGGGTACTCCAAGCCCCTCCCTGGGCTTGTGCTTGCAAGCCTTCCTTTCTAGCGTCTCCTGCTTCTTTTCTTTTTCTGGATCCTGGAAATGGTGGGTATCCAGCCTTTAATACATTGATATAAAATCTCTTGCCTTCCAAATTGTATTGAGACGATATCGTTCTCCTGAATAAGTCACCACCAATCCGGCTGGAACCTCCCATCTATACTGTATCTGACGATTTCTCAATTCATCCACTAGAAATGCATAGTCTTTTTTAGCTCTCAACATTTTAGGGGGAATTTCCTTGAATACTGCAACCTCCTGTCCTGCCACTTGTAGTTTGTTTTTGTAAGAAGCTTGTAAGATCCCATTTCTTATCTTCCTGGTAACAAAGTAGATCACAATATCTCTTGGTAGTTGTCTTTGCCTGGCAATCCATGAATTAACACGATAAATTTTATCAATTTGCCAGTCACACTCTGCTTTGGACTCTCCAGTTAACAGTGCAAGAGCTTCTGCAAAAATCTCTTTCAAATTTTCCTGATTATTTTCTTTTAAGCCTCTTACCCTCAAAGCAAATTCCATCGCCCTATATTGTGTCATTATAAATTCTGCCTCTGTCTTGTCGATCTTGATTTGAGTTTCATCCACTTTAACCTCCAAATTCACATTAGATTGATTAATTTGATTAATTTCTTCAACCTCTTCCTCCAACGATGTAACATGACCCACCAAACCCTGAAATGCTTCCACAATGTCTTCTCTTATTTCTTGATTATGGGTCTGGATTAGGATTTCTTGCAATTCAGAGGCTTGTATCTTTAAGACACCTTGAAGAGCCTCCAGTGTCAATACTTGTGTTTGCATTTGTGCTTGTGCTTGTGTATCCACTGGGGCCAGCAAAGACTGAAATTTAGGAGTTTGAGCAGGAGAACTTCCAGCACTTTTTGGAATGCCTGTTTTTGTATGCTTTGAAGCCATTCCCAAATTGTAATTTTCAACAACCAGCCCACTAAGTCAGTAAATATTTTAATCTTGATCTTTAACCAATAATATGGCTTATTAGTAAGTCAATACTTTATTCTTTTAGTCCCAGAGTCTTAATTCTTTAAAATAATGTCCATTAGAGTTAAATGGGGCTGACAGCTTTAACAAGTTAACAAGCACTTTCTTCTTTAACTTTCACTTTTTACGCCCTTAACAAGCCAGCGCCATTTTGTTTCAACTTTTTTCCGTTCTCATCAGACCCAGAAAGAAACAGTATTCAGCTGGAGTTAAAATTTGTTACTTGCAGTTATAATGTCTCCTGTCTTTGCTCTGCTTGCTTTAGTCCAAATGTTGTTACAAAGTTGCTTGCAGGGATGGTCGCGGCGTCTTGTTCTGCATGAAGCAGACACGTCTCGGATTCGGAGCTCTACCAGGTTCCTGGGGAGCTCTCACCCTTCGAGCTACAGGATTATTCCTGGAGCTCTTGGGGAGCTCTACCTGCACCCGGCTGCTCTCTTTCCCCTCTTTTCCCGAGGGGAAAGTTTCCAAGCCGCTAGAGAGCTGATTTTCGCTGTTCTAGCGGCTTAACGAAGTCTCGGGGCTAGCGCTCCCAAAGGAGCGACCGCCGACGCCTGCGGAGCCACTGGAAGTCCTGGTTTGACCCTTTTGTAGAAAATTTTATACTTGGTCTTTGAGAGGAATGTTGGAGGCCACATTCTAAACCATATTGGCTGGTGTTGGAACACAGACACATTTGATTTCATTTCAACAATATTGAAATGAATTAAGACAGGAGTCCACAACCAGACCACATAGCTGGAAATGAGCAACGGGTGAGCGAGCAAAGCTTCCCCAGTGCTAGAATCACCAACTCAGCTTCACGTCAGATCATCAAGCATTAGATTCTCATAGGATTGTGAACCATACTCTAATCCAACTCTGATTCCCCCAAATTGAAACCATATTGTTTCGAGTCTTTATCATATCTTGATTGTATATGCAGCAGATGGCCTGTTCCATCACTAGGCCCCCCATGGCCTTACCCACCCTGAAATACCTCATGTACACTTAACGAGCCTCATATTCGATTAGAGAATGCGTGAGTGAAATGATCCCATTCAAGGTACGAGATTCACTCCCATGAATCTTCGGGTTACGAATGGAGTGGGCAGGCTCCATTACATTTGTAACTCGAGGACTATCTGTATTTTGGAATTGGGCAATGCCTAAAATAAATGACTTTAATTTAATTTAATTTAATTTAATTTAATTTAATTTAATTTAATTATTTAATTTAATTTAATTTAATTTAATTTAATGTTCTTTTCAGCATGGACACAAGGAGACCCTCGCAAGGTGATTTATCCAACAGATAGTCGTGGTCAATTCTGTGGCCAAAAGGGCACACCCAATGAGTAAGTATCAAGGAGAAATTCTCTAGTTTTCTGCATGTAATCTGTGACAAGAAATTGGTGAATCTGAAAGGCTTCTCGTAGTTTTTAAGGATCTCATCGGTTGAAGCTCTTATTACTCTAAAACAATAAAATAATTGAGGGTTGATGTTATCCCTTTCTGATATGTGACTGGGTTGCCAGGTTCCAGGTGAATTGGAATAGGATGATTCTCTGAATTTGAACGAAGATGGCACTAAACATATCCAACCAAACAAAGGCTAAAATATATTTGAAGCCCCCACTTAATGATGATTATATTTTAACATTTCCATTGTAACTTTGCATTAGACATCTTGGGGGGAGGAAGGTCTTGATCCGAGGGAGGATACTGTACCTCAGATAGCCGGATGTGAGTCTCTCCTGGTGAAGTGGGACCATGGGATGCAGGTGGGCCTGCTGATCGTGTACCTGGCTCCCTGCCCGAGCTTCTCAACATTATTGCCGGGGTGGCGGTTGATACCCCCAGACTTTTGGTCATGGGGGATTTCAACCCGCCGTCTGCCAGTGTGGCGTCTGGGATGGCTCAGGAGTTTATGGCTTCCATGACAGCCATGGACCTGACACACTTAATTCATGGCCCCACTCACGCGGTAGGACACACTCTGAACTTGATTTTTATCTCTGGTCAGTGGCTGAGTGGTCTGGATATAGGGGATATAGTTACTGAACCCCTGTCATGGTCGGACCATTCTCTCCTGAGGCTGGACTTTTTGACCGCTGCACCCCACTGCAGGGAGGTGGAACCGACCAGGTGGTTCCGCCCCAGGCACCTGATGGATCCTGATAGGTTCCAGAGGGAAGTTGGGCCAGTTCCTGAAACTCTGGCTCACGACTCGGCTGAAGACCTGGTGGCTGCCTGGGATAGGACGGCCTCCGGTGCTCTGGACCGAGTCATGCCTTTGCGGCCTCTGACCCGACGCCGAACCTGCCCGGCCCCTTGGTTCTCCAAGGAGCTGAGGGAGATGAAGCGCCGGAAAAGACGCCTAGAGAGTGGTTGGAGGGCTAGTCGCTCCAAATCTGACCAAACACTAGTTAGGTCTCATATTAAGACCTATCTAGTGGTGATAAAAGCGGCAAAGCATAACCACTTTTCTGCTCTTATTGCATCGGCAGATAACCGCCCAGCCGCCTTGTTTAGGGTGACTCGCTCCCTCCTCCATCAGGGAGTGCGGGAAGACCCCTTGCAAGGGCAGGCTGAGGATTTTGCACAGTATCTGCACGATAAAATCGCTCAGATTCGGGAAGGCTTGGACTCTGACTGGGTAGATCCTGGCAGGGTGACTGAGGCTGGTCTTGAGAATGTTATCTGGGGCGAGTTCGACCCTGTGACTCCTGAGGACGTGGACAGGATCCTGGGGAGGTTAAACGCAACCACATGTTTATTGGACCCGTGCCCCTCCTGGCTGGTACTGGCCACCCGGGAGGTAACATGAGGCTGGCTCCAGAGGATTATAAATGCTTCTTTGAGAGAGGGTTTCTTGCCTCCCGCCTTGAAAGAGGCGGTGGTGAGGCCCCTCCTCAAGAAGCCTTCTCTGGACGCGGCCATTTTGGCAAACTGCCGTCCGGTCTCCAACCTTCGCTTTGTTGCGAAGGTTGTGGAGAGTGGTTGCGCGACAGCTCTCACAGTACCTGGATGAAACCATCTATCTAGATCCGTGCCAGTCCGGCTTCAGGCCTGGGTACAACACGGAGACGGCATTGGTCGCATTGGTGGATGATCTCTGGAGGGCTCAGGACAGGGGTTGTTCCTCTGTTCTGGTCCTGTTAGACCTCTCAGCGGCTTTTGATACCATCGACCATGGTATCATGCTGCGCCGGTTGGAAGGATTGGGAGCGGGAGGCACTGTCTTACGGTGGTTCTCCTCCTATCTCTTCGACTGGTCGCAGTCCGTGTTGGCTGGAGGGCAGAGGTCGACCTCAAGGCACCTGATTTGTGGGGTGCCGCAAGGGTCGGTCCTCTCGCCGCTCCTGTTCAACATTTATGTGAAGCCGCTGGGTGAGATCATCCGTGGTTTTGGGGTGCGATGCCATCTGTACGCTGACACTCAGCTGTACGATGCCATCTGTACGATGATACTCAGCTGTACATCTCCACCCCAGACCACCCCAATGATGCCCTCGAAGTGATGTCCCAGTGTCTGGAGGCCGTGCGGGTCTGGATGGGGAGGAACAGGCTTCGACTCAACCCTTCCAAGACCGAGTGGCTGTGGATACCGGCGTCCCGATATAGCCAGCTGGTGCCATCGCTGGCTATTGGGGGCGAGTCATTGACCCCCACAGAGGGGGCTTGCAACTTGGGCGTCCTCCTGGACACACGTCTGTCTTTAGAAGAGCATATGACGGCCGTGGCCAGGGGGGCTTTATATCAGGTCTGCCTGATACGCCAGTTGCGCCCCTTTCTGGATCGGGACTCCATGTGCACGGTCACTCATGCCCTGGTCACGTCACGCCTGGACTACTGCAACGCTCTCTACATGGGGCTCCCCTTGAGGAGCACCCGGAGGCTCCAGCTGGTGCAGAATGCGGCCGCGTGGGTGATTTTGGGAGCGATGTGGCTCTCCCACGTAACACCTCTCCTGCGCGAGCTACATTGGCTCCCGGTGATTTTCCGGGTGCGCTTTAAGATGTTGGTTCTCATCTTTAAAGCGCTCCATGGCTTAGGGCCAGGATATTTGCGAGACCGCCTGCTGCTACCGATAACCTCCCACCGGCCAATACGCTCTCACAGAGAGGGCCTCCTCAGGGTGCCGTCGGTCAGGCAATGTCGGCTGGCGGCCCCCAGGGGGAGAGCCTTCTCTGTGGGGGCATCCGCCCTGTGGAACGAGCTGCCTCCTGGAATACGATTGATCCCGGACCTCCGGACCTTCCGTAAAGCCCTGAAGACGTTTTTATTCCACCAAGCCGGCCTAGCCTAAATGGTTTTTAATTGGGATTTTAAATTTTATGAATTTGGGGGTTTTAAATTGGGAAGCTAATGATTTAATTCTTTTTTAATTATCTTAACTTTTGTATTTGTATGTTTTTTAATTTTGGCTGTTCACTACCCTGAGTCCCCTCTGGGAGAAGGGCGGTATACAAATTAATTAATTAATTAATTAATTAATTAAATAAATAAATAAATAAATAAATAAATAAATAAATAAATAAAGTTTTATGAAGATTTCATGATAGCATATTATAATCATTTTGGAAAACAATTTGCCAAATTGTGCACAATCCTCCATAGACTAAGAGATTTTAACAATCTAATAATCTCTTTGCCAAGCCAGAAAAATGTGCCTTTGATTTGCAACAACTAGACTTCTTGGGTTACCATATTTCCGCAAAAGGCATCCAGATGGACACCCAGAATGTCCAAGCTGTCCTAGACTGGCAAGTCCTTCACACAGCCAAAGATATCCAACGCTTCCTAGGCTTTATTAACTTCTACAGGAAATTTATAACAGGATTTGTTCCTAAAGCCAAGCCACTGACCTAATTGTCTAAGAAAGGAGTTTACATCTTGTATTCTGTTCTCCCTCTACTATGACTCACCTTTCCACCCACCCCCTTGCTACTGAAAGAGATAGTAGAGATCAATGAAGAGACTGCACCAGGATACAGCCTAAATTTCAAGGCATTTCTTAAAATAGTTGGGTTTTGGGGTTTGCTTTTTTTGCAAGATAATTGCATTAAGCTTCTACATCAAAGTTCATACAGAATGTTATGAAGATAGGTTTACACTTAGGTCTCTCATTTTGAAGATACACTTCATTTATAGCTTACTTTTTCATTCATGCAAGCGGATGAGGTTTATGACAATAACCTAAACTACCAATTGGTAATAATCATACAATTAAAAGAAATACATTATCGCTCAAATCCATTAGCAGGATTAGCCCTGGTAAAAGCAAGAAAAATGCTTAAAATCAACTTGATTGTAATTCATTTAGAAATGATATCCAGCCTTTTCCAAAGGATTAGAGGAAACACCTTCCATTTTTTTTGAAGTTTTATGTATCATATGGTATCACAATATGGATAGGAACAAATAGAAGAACAGTTTGTAATATTTTGTTCTGTTTCCAGGCAGAAGCCTTACTTGTTTTACTTCAACATCATGAAATGTGCTAGCCCTTTGGTGTTGCTGGAATTTCAGTGTCCTACTACACAGGTGAGGTTTTCTTTGATTTCATCCTTAATGTTTTCTGCAAGGGTGTCAAACTAGAAAAGTGTTGTGCCACTTTGTTTGGATGGATTCATGAACAGGTAAATACATAGAATTTGATATTGCTGTTTGATTTTTGGAATATATCTCAGGGGTGCAGCATCAATCTTGGCGTGACCTGAGAAGCTAAGTTGAATTGGGCCTGATTAATACTTAGATGGAAGATCACCAGAGAATATCAGAGTTGTAGGCTATTCTGGTGTGAGGAAACGTAGTTGCAATACCCTCCAGCCTGTAGGAATAACTCATGCTTATTGGTGGGAAAAGCATATTTGACTTTGCTTCAAGTAGTTTCATAAGAATTCAGAAGCCGGGATTTGCTGTCACAGAGCTTCTTCACCAATAGCTTATCAGACTTTCAGTTTATTAGACTTTTGTTTATTGATTTGTTAGATTTTCTCCAAAAACAAAAGTATTCCTTTCCTCAATTGTACTCCACAAGAACAACTTTGTAAAATAGCTTAATCTGAGGGAGTGGGAAAGAGTGTAGAAGGCATAAGGAATGGCCTTGAAAGAAGGTAGGAAGATCCATTACTAAGACAATGATCAGACAAATGCAGCTTGAACCCATTCCAAGAAATAGACTTAGGAAAAAGCCTCCGGCAAGCCTCTCCCCAATTCACACAAAGATAAAGTGAAGGAGGAGGAAAGCATATTCAGATTTGGAAGATGGCTATTTTATTAGGATATTTTTAGATCCATATGGCATCTGTTTCTTAATCTAGTCTATTTTATAAGGCTGACAGAGAGAGACTGGTCCAAATTCACACCATAAACTTTCATTGATGAGTCTGAACTTGAATTTGCAGTCCTCATCCAATATTTTAATCTGTATACCACACATCAAAGCAGGATATTTTGTATGTATTTGAAGAAGTAACATTCTTTTGATTTTATCACAGTAAAAGTTTGGTCAGTAAGCCTTTACTATTAAATTCCAAAATTAGTCAACTAGCTCTCTGTATGGTAAATTAAATTCCAGGTATCTGGCATGAATCAGGATGATATATTGAGGGTTGCATTCTACACAGGTAATCCTTGATTTAACAACAGTTCATTTAGTGACACACTTAGGACTGTTGCAGCATCCCCATAGTCATATGATCAACATTCAGATGCTTGACACCTGATTCATATTTATGATGGTTGTAGTGTCATGGAGTCATATGATTAGTTTTTGTGACCTTCTGACAAGCAAAGTCAATGGGGAAGCCAGATTCACTTAATAACCATGTTACTAGTTTAACAATTGCAGTGATTCAACAACAGTGGCGAGAAATATCATAAATTGGGGCAAAACTCACTGTCTCACTTAGCGACAGAAATTTGGGCTCAATTATGGTTGTAAGTTGAAGATGTAAATTTTTAGATGTAGAGGATTCTAAGAAATACCTGCTAGAACTATTATTGGATTTCATTTTCTGACTTTTCTTTTTCCCTTTTTTTGCTTCTTGCTTAAATGCATGAGGAAAAAATAATCAAATAAGAAAAAGATATTAAATTTAAGAATTTCCAAATATCAAATCATATAGTTCAGGAAGATGGTGTCTTCCCTGCCGCCTTGAAAGAGGCGGTGGTGAGACCTCTCCTCAAGAAGCCTTCCCTGGACCCGGCAGTGTTGGCTAATTATCGTCCAGTCTCCAACCTTCGCTTCATTGCGAAGGTTGTTGAGAGTGTGGTAGCACGACAGCTCCCTCAGTACCTGGATGAATCGTCATATCTAGATCCGTTCCAGTCAGGCTTCAGGCCTCGGTACAGCACGGAAACGGCATTGGTCGCGTTGGTTGATGATCTCTGGAGGGCTCGGGACAGGGGTTGTTCCTCTGTCCTAGTCCTATTAGACCTCTCAGCGGCTTTTGATACCATCGACTATGGTATCATGCTGCACCGGCTAGAGGAGTTAGGGGTGAGGGGCACCGTCCTATGGTGGTTCTCCTCCTTTCTCTCTGACTGGTCGTAGTCCGTGTTGACGGGGGCAGAGGTTGACCCTGAGGCCCCTTATATGTGGGGTGCCACAAGGGTCGGTCCTCTCGCCCCTTCTGTTCAACATTTATGTGAAGCCGCTGGGTGAGATCATCCGTGGTTTCGGGGTGAAGTACCATCAGTACGCTGACGACACTCAGCTGTACATCTCCACCCCGGACCACCCCAATGATGCCCTTGAAGTGATGTCCCGGTGCCTGGAGGCTGTGCGGATCTGGATGGGGAGAACCAGACTCAGGCTCAACCCATCCAAGACCGAGTGGCTGTGGTTTCCGACATCCCGTTATAGTCAGTTGGTGCCATCACTGACTATTGGGGGCGAGTCATTGGCCCCCACGGAGAGGGCTTGCAACTTGGGCGTCCTCCTGGATTCACGGCTGTCTTTGGAAGAGCACTTGACGGCTGTGGCCAGGGGGACTTTTTATCAGGTCCGCCTGATTCGCCAGTTGCTTCCTTTTCTGGATCAGGACTCGTTAAATACGGTCACTCGTGCTCTCGTTACTTCCCGCTGGACTACTGCAATGCTCTCTACATGGGGCTCCCCTTGAGGAGCACCCAGAGGCTCCAGCGGGTCCAGAATGCAGCCGCGCGGGTGGTTATGGGAGCGGCATGGCGCTCCCATGTGACTCCCCTCCTGCGCGAGCTGAATTGGCTCCCGGTGGTCTTCCGGGTGCGCTTTAAGGTTTTGGTTGCCACCTTTAGAGCGCTCCATCACATCGGACTGGGGTATTTACGAGACCGCCTTCTGCTACCAATAGCCTCTCACCGACCAGTACGCTCCCATAGAGAGGGGCTTCTCAGGGTGCCGTCGGCCAAACAGTGTCGACTGGCGGCCCCCAGGGGGAGAGCCTTCTCTGTGGGGGCACCTGCCATCTGGAACGAGCTCCCCTCGGAGATGCGGAGGATCCCGGACCTGCACACGTTTCGTCATGCTCTCAAAACATTTTTATTTCAGCAGGCTGGCTGGGCCTAACTCTCCCTTTTAAATTTTTAAATCGTTAAATTTGTTTATAAATTGGGTGTTTTAAATTTGTTTTGGCCAAAAAATTTAATAATTTTAATGGATTTTTAATATTTGTATTATCTGTATTTTATCTTGGCTATTCACCGCACTGAGTCCTTTGGGAGTAGGGTGGTATAGAAATTTGAAAATAAATAAAATAAATATATAATTTGAAATTTTTCAAAAAGAGTAAAAATATTTGAACATCACAAATAAAGGCAAATTTGATCGATCTCACATTTTTTAACATGTCTATCATAAAAAGTGAAATTTGATTTGATTGCTTGGAAGTCCCCTTGTTCTTCCATTCAGTAATATTCCAGATATCCAAAATCTACAAGCCAGTGATCCATTGCAGCTGAACCCTTCTTTTCATCGTACATTGTACATGAATACCTGCAAATTCCAAAGCTAGGTATTCAAATAATGTAACAACTGGTTCTTCCTAATGACCGGCTGGGTGGGCGTGGCTGGGTGGGTCATGTGACTGAGTGGGCATGGCCAACTCTACATCATGCGCGTGGGTGGTGCCTGTATGGGCCAGGTGGGGTTGGGGAGGGAATCTAGGGGTCCCTAGTGGGTGGGGCGGGAGGGGGTGGGAGGAAAGAAAGAAAGATCCAACCTGTGTGCATTTGTGTGTGTGTGTGTGAGAGAGAGAGAGAGACAGAGGGAGAGGGAGCACCGCTGCCAGCCCTGATGTAGCTCTCTGAGATTGGATCAGATCTCTCTCTCTTTCTCCCTCCCTGCTTTATCAGTCTTAGAAAGTCTGCCAGGCTGAGGGAAAGTGCATGTGCTATAGCATCCTGCGGATGCCCCTCACTTGCCCCTTTGCCTGGCTTCCCTCCTCCCACTGTCTCTTCAGTGCTTGCTCAATCATTTGTGCTCTCTCTCCCCAGTGTAGCTTGATGCAAGAGGCAGCTCACAATTACTCTTTGCAAGCCCACTGTCGATGAAGCTGGGTGTTGGTAAGGGCTGGCTTTTCCTCCCGACAGCCAGACAAACCTAGGCAAAAAGGCAGCCATCACCGGCGTCTTGCATGTACCGGCCCTCGCAGCCAGCATTTAAAGAAAAAAGGATGTTTTTGGCACCAAGAGGTGTTGTCATTGGGAGGGTGAATCACCCGCGGAAATGACTTACCTGCAACGTCACAAGGGGCGGGGGCTCCCGGACTCCAAATAAGGTTCCTTTTAAACCAAAACTCTTTTTCCTCAAATGTCACTTCTCTCATGCTTGTCCTTCATACAACTCCGCCCACCTCTCAGGCTCACTCACCCTCAAGCGCCCGTTGCTTCCAGTACCACTGTTGGGGCTTCTAGCTTCTTCACCGTCTCCAGTGGAGCACTCCATCGCACTCCGAAGCTTGCTGCCATTGCTTCCGCCCTCTCGGAGAGGCTGAGATGCGAGCAGAGGGTAATATTGTACATGTTTTTCCCCCAGTGCCATGGGTAGACCATGAAGTCACTGAAGCCTGGGCTGATAGAGATGAGTGGCGGCACGGCCACGTGGGTGGGATCCTCACTGCTGGCGAGTGGCGGCTTCACTGGGGTGGTTTCAATGACCAAGACACGGTTCGGGGAGCTTCTCAGATGCACAATAATGGGGGAGATGGTCTGAGAGAAAGCACCCAGTTGCGCTCAGCCGAAGGGAGCAGGCCGCCTCAGGGGGGACGGTGAGGCTGGGGCCCATGCACCCTCCCATCTGCCTCAAGTCCTGCATCCAGCCCGTGACAGGGGGACACACCATTTCTGAGCCAGCCCAACTGATGGGTGGACAAGCGGGCAACCCTCGGGCGAGGGAGAAAAATGGGAGAACAGCTGACCTACGGGCGTGAGGATGAGCATGAAACAGGCAAGTGGCAAACGGCCAAGAGAGTCAAACGGGGAGGGAAGGCAAACATCCAAGGGAGACAAGCTGCTGAGGGAAGCAAATGGGGAGGGAGGCAAATGAGTGAAGAACAGCT